TAGTTGGGAAGCATTTGAATGGTTTATGGTTTGATTTTATAGTGATGTGCTCTAAATGGAGGCAATTGAATACAAGTGGGTGCATTTATTCATTAGGCACATAATGGTCTCTTAAAACAAGAGGAGGATTTACAATTGGTAGTGCTAAATGAACACCGTGGTTAGCTTGAACCATAGGAGGTTGTAGAGCAAAGATTGGTTGAGGCATTCCCAATGGAATTTGGCCTTCTTGTTATGGTGGGTGAATGAATGGTCTAGGCATACCTAATAGTACTTAGATGTTTTCATGATGCACATTAGGGTTGAGGATGCCTTGTTGGTCTATATGACCAAGGTCCTCCGCATGGTCGTCATTCAAATCCTCCATTGGTGAAATGAAGTGATGAGAACTACCTCTTTCCCCAGGGTTACGAACAACTGATTCAAGATGCAAATTAGGAAGGACAAGAGTTTGATTCAATGACCTACGACCATACATACACTAGCAAAGCAAATAATCAAGAAATAAGTAAGTAACAAACACTTCGCCCCCACAACAATTCAATCAACAAATCTCCACATACAATGATCCCATACTCCCATGCTTAAACAACATGCAAAGAAAAGTAAATTGCCTCCATGCGGGCTCACGATCTATCTAAGAATGTAAAAGCAAGCCTCCATGCGGGCCGATGATTTAACTAGAGCTTGAGTTAGAAAGATCTCACAAAGGGTCCTTAAGCAACTTCAATATATTTTCAATTTTTCGCTTAGCTTTGTAATTTTTAGATTTTTAGCCTTTTTGCCTTGCTTAGCTCCTTGCTTTGGATTCTCCTTTGCTCAACTTCCTTCACTCAATGCACCTAGTCTATCAAGAATCAACACAATAAGTAATCAAAAAGAAAATAAAGTAAAGAAACGATCAAAAGAGTACTAATTCTTAATTGTTTCCAAAACATGGCATTGCCAATTAAATCCTCGGCAACGGCACCAAAAACTTAGTGGTTTAAGCCGCGGTTTACCAAAAGTTTGCAAAGATATGAACTAAGAGTGTGAGTATGCAATGTGGCCAAGTTTTAAATTTATAAAAGCCACTACTACCTCTAACTAAAAATATAGCTAGAGTGAGTAGGGATCGTCCCAAGGGATTCTGGGTGCCTTTGCAATTGAAACAATATATAGGGTTAGTAGGTCGAGTGATTAAAGATTGGTTGGATTGATTGATTAAGCTATTGTGCAAATGAAATTAAAGTAAACAAAATTCAATGATTAATAAAGTAGAGAAAGATATAGAGGGGAAGACTTTGGGTACTAGAGCTCACCACTAAACTTGACTTCACTAGACACTGGCAATTGTATATTAATGGGGAAATTGACTTGTAACTTGTGTGTATGTGTGACATTAATTGAAACTAGGCATGGATGGCAAATAAGCATAGATTGTCAAGCCACATCAAATGGAAAGCACAACCTATCAAATGAGACCAAAATCCATTCAATGAAACCACAATTTATGCACACACAATTATCTAGAAACATACATCTAATGCATTCAAAAGTATAGAACACCAATGAACAAGAGTAGATTGTCCACCTATCTATGAATTTAAAGCAACTACACTACATCTACACTAAAGACATGAAATTAAACTAAGTAGGGTAAAGGTGTGGTACAATCCATCAAGAAAAAAGTGTGAACCATCAAATAAATTGCAAGAGTGTTCAATTAAGCTCTATATTTTGATTATCTCTAGATCAACTTCATCCATACACATAGATGACCTCCTTCTTGATGGAAACCCTAGAAGAATGGAAGAACTCCTAAAATGTGTAAAGCTCTCTAATCTTTAACCTCCTCTCCAAGATATGAGGTATACAAGTTATGTTAAATATTACAAGTTATGATGTAAAAATGGTTCAAAATCCTTATATAGGTAGGTCAAGTGTCACACTAATAGTCTGGATTCGTGCATCAAGGTCCCTCCAATGATTGCACCATAAGCCAACTTTTAATGAGCTGGAATTTGTCTTTTTTTCGGACTTGAGGAAGTTCGATTGATCGAACTATGGTGAGATCGATCGATCTTAGTTGAGATCCATCGAATGCTGCAGAGATCGATCATCCTTGGCTGCACCTTTTTGAATAAAGACAAATCTCTGAGATATTTTGAAATATTTTTGGGAAAAAGACAAAAGTGGTAGGTAGGTGGTAAGTGTGGATAAGATCGAATCATGTCGATCGATCTGGGAAATGTTGGATCGATTGAACTTGTTGGATTCTTTTGAATAAGGACAAAGGCTTGGATCCATCTTGAATTGTTTAGATCGATGAACTTTCGATCGATCGAAGAAATGCTGAGATCGATCGAACATACTGAATTTCCACACTTTGCTTCATTTAGCTTCCACTTTGCTCCTTTCTTCCATTCAACTTGAATTAACTTCTTTAATGCTCTTATTTGGCTGAATTAACTTATTTTTGGGATAAGTGCCTGAAAAGGGCAATAACACGAAATTAGAATAAAACGGAAAAATAAGATCGATAAAGGTCCTAGAATACCTAAGCTTAAGGGGTTTAAATGTGCACTTTTCAGTGCTCATCAGGTTTGACCCACCGGATTGGTGTGATCAAAAGGAAGACTACGAGAAGGTTGTTCTCTTAGCAAGGAGAAGCATGGTGTTGCTTCTTGTGAAGGTTTGCTCTCCACCCGTAAGGAGGAGCCATAGTGAAATCCTTGAGAGGTTTTCTCAAGGCATGGACGTAGGCCGAGCTTGTGCCGAACCATGTACATCGCGTGTCTTTTGGTTTGCAATTTCTCTGACTCTTACTCTCTTTATTTCCTTATCATTTTCCATTTCATAATCTTAATGCTTTATTTATAAATGCTATGAGATAGACATGTTATTTTATATATGAGGAGTATGGGATGAATGATTGGATTTAGTTGAATGAGTGATTGATTTTAGCTTAGACCATATGTCCAATATTTGATTCATATATAGCTAAACTAATGTTGCATACCAAGTGTTTGACAAAATGTATATTCAACACATCCTTCATCTTTAGAGTTTATATGCACACCAAGTTTTTGATAAATTTGTAATAAACTCTATGACTATGTATTTCATGTCATTTGCACCTTGAATATTAATCACATCAATATTGTGCAAATGCTAATTCTAAATGATTTGTTGAATTGAAAACATTGAAGCTTAAAAGAATTCGTTTAATTGAATCAATGATAATCACACTTAGTTGCATAACTAATTAGCATGATTCAATGTACTAAATGAATTGGTCTTTGGCTATAGCAATCTACTCATATGTAGCAAGCTCATTGTCTTACGTCCAAAATATTAAGTGGATTGTATTGAGATAATTGGTTTAAGAAATCAAACATGAATATACTTCTTCATAAGCTCAATGTTATTGCACACCAAATATTTGATAGAATGTATATTCAACTTAACATTCATATTTAGAGTTTAGATGCTTAACAAATAGTTGACATATTTCTTATCAACTCTATAATAAGGTTTTTCATAACATTTGCACCTTGAGCATAATTTACATCAATACCATTCAAATGTTTATCCTTAGTGATTAATTGAATTACATGTATTCATGCTTGAAATAATCTCATTTATAACTTAAATTCAATAATGCTCATGCTCAATTTTACATCATGCATATGCATGATTCAAAGAATGAATGAAATGATCATTTACGAAGGCAACATACTCATCACATATAGTAAACTAATTGTTTTACATTCCCAAGGTTAAAGAAAGCTTTATACTACAATCAACTAGAGAAATACATTCATCATAATGAATTGTATTTGGTTCTAAAGTATAGAGATAAATAAAAAAGAGCTTAGAGAAGCTAAATCGAAAAAGTTTCATAGTTTGCAAATGACCCTATTCACCCCCCTCTAGGGTCATTACTTGGGCAACACAAGTCACATAAAAATAATATATGATACATGTTACAAATAAGTTAAGATGTTAAATATAATTTAGGTTTGAAACATATTACGTTTAATTCTTGATATTATTCGTAAAAATATGTTTAGTTGTGTAGGTGTAAAAATTTGGAAGAAATAAATTAAACCATAAACTTAACATGTTTTACGTTGTTATGTCATTCTAAAACATATTTGTTTGATGTTGAATTTACTTCGATTTTTTATTGATACAAGTCACATAAAAATGATATATGATACATGTTACAAGTAAGTTAAGATGTTACATATAATTTAAGTTTGAAATATATTATGTTAAATTAATGATGTTATTTGTAAAATATGTTTGTTTGTGTATGTGCAAAAATTTGGAAGAAAAAAAATTAATTCATAAATTTAACATGTTTTACGTTGTTATGTTACTCTAAAACATATTGGTTTGATTTTCAATTTAATTCATGTTTTTATTTATTCAAGTTACATAAAAATAATATATGATACATGTTGCGAGTAAGTTAAAATGTTACATATAATTTAGGTTTGAAATATATTACGTTTAATTTATGATGTTATTCGTAAAATATGTTTATTTGTGTAGGTGCAAAGATTGGGAAGAAAGAAATTAATTCATAAATTTAACATGTTTTACATTCTTATGTCATTCTAAAATATATTTATTTGATATTGAATTTAATTCATATTTTTATTGATACAAGTCACATAAAAACATGTATCAGTATATTTATAGTTACAAGAGAAGAAAAAAAAAAAACAGAAATATAATGTAATTGGAAACCATTAAAAACATATAATATTTATTAGCATTAAAAACAGATAATATACTATTAAAAACGTAATTGGAAATCATTAAAAACAGATAATATATTTATTACCATTAAAAACCTAATATATATGATTAAAAATATAGTTTTCTCTTACTAGATTTTCTCCCTAATTATATATATTATCTATTTCATAAATTTTTTTATTTGAAAAAAAATAATAAATAATAAAAAAATAATAAGAAGATGAATGGAGTCGCAAAATTGGAAATAGATGATGCAAGATCAGAGTTTCCGGCACATTCCGGCAAGATCAAGTGAATTCCAGGAGAAGGGGAAGGTTGAGATCGATATTGGTTTGGCCTTGGTGCTGCGAAACTCACGCACCACCGCATCGTAAGAGAGGAGGTTGTGCTCCTTTGAATCCACGATGAACTCCATCTCTACATCCGCCATGGTTGGATCTCTATGCGTGAAAAATTTGAGATCTCTTTTTTGGTCTTTAATTTTGAAAAGAGAAAGAAGTAAAAAGGTTTATTTAGTAAGTAAATATTAATTTGGGTCTTATGTATAACTTTTATATACCGTATTCGTATATAGTAAGTATGAATTTTGTCTGCAGTATTCATATATGGTAAAAGAAAGTAGATTTGAAAAGTCAGTGCTGAGTTGGCGCTTCATTATCAATGACAAGGCAATTACTAAGCAAGCTAAGCTGAGTTAACTTCATCTCAGTCACTGGACTTGCCATGGACACCCTCCAGTGAGAGGTGTCATGGAGACGATTCGCCCCCTTAAAAGAGGGATTCAATTTCAAACTTTGGTTCAACCAGTGATTTGTAAACTTGTGAACCATCAATGATTGACTTGACTTGACTTGACGAAGGACTTTTTGTACGGACAATGATGTAGTGGGGTTCGCCTCACGAAAATTTTTAATAAGCAAAGAATATTTATTTGTTTATTTGTTTGTGACCTTTGGGGCTGAAATGGAATTATAATTTGGGGTCAAATTGAAATTATATAATAAAAATTTAAAATCAATAGTAGCATAATTTTTTTTTTTTTTTAATATTAAGGTTGTTATATATATATTGAGAAAAACATAATAAAAAATATGTGAAAATTTTCAGAAAAAAAAAAACTCTTAAAAAAATAATTTGAGAGATTTTATTTAATTAAATATGGTACATTTTTTATTATATCAATAAAAATTGTACCATTTTAACTAAATAAAATCTTTCAAGTTTTAATAAAAGCACAATGAATAAAATAGTGAACTACTTTAATAACTTATTCAAAGAATAGTTATAGATTTATTTTCTTGATAAGTAAGAATAACTATAGAATTTGATCCTATGATTAATATCATAATCAAAGACCTTTTTTTTAATGTATTGAGTCAAAATATCATTAATTTATAATTAAATACAATTTTTTTATATAATTTTTTAACTTTATTATTATTTAAACCCTGCCGAAACAAATTTCTGAGTAGGTCATTGGGTCAGTCAATATCAATCTTGTGAACACAAACAGGCTGAATCAATGCTGTGGAAGGACTTTTTGAAGGACTTTCTTTCATTCCCAACAATTTTTAGATTGGTCACTGATCAGTCAATGTCAATCTTGTGAACACAGACCTAATTAATTAATGTTGTGGAAGGACTTTTTTTCATTCTCACCAACTATTAATGCTTCTTCCATTTCCATCCTAATTGTCACTCAATGAGTCTTTGATCCATTTCTATCTATTTATTTATATCACACTATATATATATGTGTGACTTGTAGTCTGTATCAACATAAGAATTTCATTCTGTGAAGTGGCCAAACCACACTGCTGGAAGGATTTTTCTTCGCCATTACTTACAGGTTACTTTTCCATCTACCTTTAGACATTGCTAATAGCTCATAATCGGTATTTTTATTTATTTATTTTTCTCATGCTTTGTCCTGTTTCTCTGTCGCATGATGTACGTGGATAAATTAAGAAACTGCATAGAAAAACAAAGTCCGACTAAAATCATGTCAGCACAATAGAATTTGAGATCTTAGATGAAAAATAGAAAATGGCCTTTCAATGTGTAATATATTAATATCAAGTCACTATTTACTTTATTATTATTATTATTATTATTATTATTTTTCACTTTAGTATAATTTTCTTATTAGATGACTTGGTCTTCTCATTTTTTTTTTTTTTCGGGTTATGTTATGATTATTAGTTGTAACAAATTTATAAAGAGCTCATTTTCTCTATTGAATTAGTTTCTCTATTTTCTCATCTTTTTATTTTTGGCTTTTCTAATTCATACTTTCTAGTAAAAATATTCAATAATACATTAAAAAAAAATGTCACAAATTTGTCCCCGATGAAGTTGTGTCTAAATTACCAAACTCTAGGTCTATGTTTCAAGGCAAACAAAAAAATATATATACACACTTTTTATGATAACAAGCAGGGATGGACTTAAAGAGGCTCCCCCTCGCCCGCGTGGGGGGGGGGGGGGGGGGGGGGGGGTGCGGGGGGTGGGGGTTGTTTTGGTTATTAATTGTAACAAATTTATTAAGAGCTCATTTTCTCTATTGAATTAGTTTCTCTATTTTTCTCATCTTTCTATTATTCATTTTTCTGATTTATACTTTCTAGTAGAAATATTCAAAAATATATTAAAAAAAAATGGTCACAAATTTGTTCAGGTGAATTTAGGTCTAAACTATCAAACTCTAAGTCAATATTGTAAACTTTAATTATTCTTGCAAATCATTAATTACAAATAAATATAAATCACAAGATCTTAGAACTTCATTATTTTCACATTGCTATAATGCATAACTATAGTTAAATATAAATACATCGATCTGTGATAACAAATCTTGTTAAGATCAAGTCCAACGTCGAGATCCTTTAATAACGAACTAAGCTGCAACTCCAAATAATAGGCAAAACATGAAAACTAACGTCTCTCACTTGGCCTATTGCACGTATAAAACTTTATACGTGTTGTTTCATTAGCGTACATAATTGATGTGATATATACACTTTTATAAAAGACAGAGAGAGGGCCAGTTTTTCTTTTAGTAACTGTAATTTCACTTTCCATCAAAGTAAAGAATAAATAGGAAAACACTTCACCAATAATTAATTACTAAAAAGGTAATTAATAAATTGACCAAATAATATAATATTAATCTGATATCTATTTACTTAACTACTAATTAATAAAATATATCACGTGTCCAAATCATGTGACCACACAATTAATAAATAATCTTACATTCTCTTACTTGGCCCATATGATAACTTTTATAGTGGTTTAATAAAATAGTCATTAGTATGCACCATAAATCAGATTGAGTCTTTAAGTTGGTTATCATAAATACCATAGTAAATAAATTACCAATGCGAGTCATGGCTATTATATATCACTAAATGGCACAGTCCCTTCCATGTATCATAGCACTAGTAACCTATTCAACATAGTCTATAAATGAGAAGTACCAATAATGATCTAACAATAATGTCTTTTCAAAAACTATTCCTATTACCACTTATTAAAGCAATACATACATGTACATTAATTAATAAAAAATATCATAAACACATTTAATGAGTGTAAAATATCAAATATATATAAGCACTGTTAAGCAATCCACAATTAAAAAAAAAAAAAAAAATCATCATTGACTACATTTCAAACCCATTCTTTCAACATGTTCCATAAATGTCTTGGGTGGTAGTCTATTCGTTAATGGATTGCAATCATAAGTTGCGTGCTTATATGTTCAATAGATGCTGGTTATTTCTAAATATCTTCTTTAATGATAAAGTATTTCAACTTTAGAATACCTATCAATTTTCATACAAGAAGATCATCAATTGCAGCATAAATTTTCAGCAATCTGAAAATGATACTTATAACTTCAAGTCCTAAAATAAATTCTACAAACATAAATTGTAGCCTCAAAGAATACTACAAATTAAAATTCATAATAGACAAAGTAATAATAAATTACTTTGTATTTTTTCATAATATTGTTCCTCCAGCCAAAAGAAAAAAATAACCAATAGTAAATTAATTATTATCCATATATTCAACAAAAATTTGTCTTCTTAAGTGTGAGCATATAATCTTTTATCCCTTACCAACTTGTATATGCATTAAACTTCATAATATATGCACAAGAATATTTTTCGTTTTCTTACCTTCTAACTAACTCATTCTTTAGGATTGCATTAGGCTGAATTTATCCCCTTTTATGTATGGAACAATACTGGTTGAATAATGTTACATACCAAATCTTTCTAGATTATTTCAATGTATGTTTTCTGAGACAATTCTAAAAATCCACTTGATCTATCTTGAAATATTTTTATTCCTAACACGTTGGATGCCTTATCCATATATTTCATTTCAAAGTTCTTAGAGATAACTTCTAATTTCATATAATAAGCTAAGATCACTACTAGCGAACAAAATATTATCAATATATATAATCAAAAATATAAACTTACTCCCACTAACCTTCTGGTATATACACCAATCAATAGTGTTTTTCTTAAAACCAAAATAAATAATGGTATCATTAAACTTAATATACCATTGTCGGGAAGCTTGTTTAAGTTTATATATTGACATCTTAAGTTTACAGATCATGTATTCTTTACTCTTAAAATCATATTCTTGTGGATATACCACATAGTCATTCAAAATAACAGATCTCCTTTCTCTTTGAGATCGTCTTAATGTTATTCCTTATGGTTCTTCTACAATCTATTCATTGGTGACAATCTCATCATGGAGTTAATGATCTTTCAATTATTCTTCATTGTGATACGGTTCAACAATTGTAGGAATAATTATTTCCTTTAATGAATTTGTACCCTAACTTTTTGAATGATCACATTCTTATTTTTTATCATTCCCACTGATTTCACCATTCTAAATGAATTTGGCATTTCTGATTTTAATAATTATCGTACTATGTTTAGGATAGTAAAACTTATACCGTTTAGATTACTTAACTTTCACAATATTATGGGTAACGAAGAATTACTTAACATACTCCTAACCATATCTATAAGAGTACGATTACGTCTTTCAGTTACACGCTTCTGCTGTGGCACACATAGCATAATGTATTGAGCACAAATGCCATACATTTCAAAGAGTTTAGCAAACGGTTAGAGTATTAATCTGTTTCATCATACTTTCCATAATATTCACCACCTCTATATGACCTTATGATTTTCACTTTTTTATCTAGTTGTTTTTCAATCTCATTTATGTATACTTCAAGTGTACACACTGCTTGAGATTTTTCATATAATAAATAGATATATCAAAAACGTAAAAAATCAACTATAAAGGTGATAAAATACTTTTCTCCACCAAAAGATGAAACATCAGAAGGTCTACAAATGTCTATATGAATAATTTCAAGAAACTTTGTACTTTTTGTGGCTCGTTTCTTTGTGTGTTTTGTTTGTTTACCTTTAATACAATCCCCACATACACCAAAATCAGGAAAGTTTAGATTCAGAAGAATCACATCCTTTACTAATTTTCCTAACCTTTCACTATATATTCTCTCAGTCTTTTATGCCACAAGATAAATGAATTTTTATTAATTGAGCTAAGCTTAATTCTAAAATTATGATGCAAGGTCAAAAGGGTTTTAATAAATAAACTATCAAGTTTGAATTTACAAAAATTATCAACAAGAATACCATAACTCACAAACTAGAATTTATTGAATAAAAATCATTATCAAATTTAATGGATTAATCATTAACATAAAGTTTTGAAATCAAATCAAATTATGAAAAATTGAAGAAATATAAAGCGTTTAAAACAATTTAAATAAAATCTATTGTCCAAGACTAAGTAAATGTCTCAATGGTTTCAACAAAACTTTTTCCCAATTCTCATTTGAATTTGTGATTTAGGCCATAAGTAATCATTGCATCTACTAGAAATATAAACAGTAGTACTTAAGTCAACATATCATGTATTAGAAAGAATTTCAATAAGTAATTCGAAATATACAAAAGTCAAAAGACTTATCTTTATTTTCGAATCATTCTTTTTGTTTCGTGTAATCTTTTTAAAAATATTCAATACATAAATGATACTTTTGCATTATTATATTTCTTTCTTTTAATAGATTAATCAAAATCTTTTATTTTTTGGTGTTGCTCACTTAATGCCCTTTCAAGTTTCTTCCCAAATTTCTTTATAACTTCTTGAGTCATGAGATGAACATAATGATTATCTTACTGCTTAAGTTTTGTCTCCTCCTAAATTAACATAATGGTCAATTCTTTCACTTTTCATTTGTCTTAATAGTGTTAATTCGAAATAACCCATACTGAGTAGACAATAAATTGAGAATAAATTGAACGAGAAAATTATCATCCACAATCATCCCCAAGGTTCTCAATTTTGCAGCAACATTAGTCATCTTAAAATTATGTTCATATATGGTACGAGTATCAACAAAAATGCATAGTAGTGATATCAATTAATAATTTTCATTTTAGATATTTATCTACAATACAAAAACATTCTTATAGTCAAATATTCCTTAGCACTATAACTATAGGGAACAATTATTTGCATAGCCATAATGCTTAATCTGTTCGATCTCTCTTAAATTTTGAACTTAACTTACTCATTCCATTATGAGAAGTTAGTTATATTAAGAAGTAAAACAGGTGTAGCATGCGAATTAAGGGATATAATAAAATAAACATAATAAAATAAAATACTAACAACAATAATGCTTTGAGTTAACAACATGTATATATAACTTAAAATATAAATAAATGTATAACTATAGTACCCCTTTGGGTGGCAACTATAAAATAATAATAATGATACTTATTTGTATTTATATGTATAACTTTATTGGTGATACATTATTTAATTAAACACATAAGTTACCTTTGGATATCCTATATCTACCCAATTAAAAAATACAATCAACCCCTTAATGTTCATTTAAACACTTGAAAATCAATTCCCTTTGGAGAATTATTTCTCATAATTAAATAAACTCAATATTCATGAATATCACAAAAAATCATAAGTATCAATAATTTACGAAATATTGCAATTATGTCTATTACTAAAATTAATATTCATCAACCATTATGGTTAGGCCACTTTGACAGTTACCAACCTTTACATAATATGAATATTAAATTAGTTAGTGATTAATTCATAATTAATTATATTTACTACTAAAATTAATATTCATCAATCATTAAGGTTAGGCCACTTTGGTAACTACTAACCCTCACATAACATGAATATTAAATTAGCTAGTTATTAATTCATCATTAATTTACCCATTTAACATTATACACATATATTCATACTGATCGATCTAAATTTGATAGGTTCAATTCCAGAAACTTAATTGTCCAAAAATTCAATAAAAATATTATTTTACTTTATATACATAATAAAATATATTATTTTTATTTTCAGACTTAGATTTTAATGAGGAAACCCCAATTGGTAGAATAGAGCAATTGTAATAAGAAAAACCTTGTTGGACTTTGCAGTCTTGAGATAAACGATCAATTATATTTGAAGCAAAGTATATTGAATTTTGACTCAGTCTTACACTCATCGTTCTACCAAAAACTAATTGCTGATGATCCCTGACTTTGAGACTCCCCTGTCCAACATTTCTCGACCTCAGGCTTACTCTTGATCTCTGTAGAAGAGTTACAGGTAGATCAGACAACACTCCACGAATGCTCTGACCCCTTTAAAGTGTGATCGCTTCAACCCTTTTCTTCTAGATCTGAATTTGACGAAGAACGAATGAATTCTGTTTTTCCGAAATTTCTGAATCTTCAATTATGCTCTAATTCCGATGAGATAGAGAACAACACTACTAAATCACTCTTGTGTTAAACCTATAAAGTACAACTTGGGAATCCGTATATAAAGGACCCCTAATAAAAATCCCATAACTGAAAATAACGTCTGCTAATATAATAAATATCTACTAAAACAAAAAAATTAAACCAAGAAGACCCAAAATATCTCCAATGTCTCTCTAGTATGACCCTCTATTATTATTGTTGTGATTTGGATTATAGATACACAAGAGATACACATGTCTTATTTATCTCTCTAGCAAGAAACTTTATAAAAACTTTCAAAATATAATGATCTCAAAATAAAGGGTTGTAGTCTAATAATACTTCCTTACCTTCTAAAGTAGCAAGTGATGGTTCAATTGTTTTCGTTTAAACCTTGCATGTATAATTCATTAAGACCATCTCTTTAGAATTTTGCTCGTGACTTTGGTTATATGCTTACTGTGATGCATAATATTGTTTATTTATATTTATAGATATTTTACGCATGCAGATACTACACATATCCATCTTTCATCCATCTCTTGGTTAAATGACAACTACGAAAATCTGGGAAGCCTCCTCAACTCAGTGTTCTTATCATGTTTTTTTTGAGTTTTAGAGGTGAAACTCAAAAGACCTTTGCCGATCACCTTTATACAGCTCTGTTACATGCAGGAATACGCACATTTAGGGATGATGATGGAGTTAGAAGAGGCGACCATATCTCAATAGAATTGATAAAGGCAATCAAAGAGTCGAGTATTTCAATAATTGTCTTCTCGAAAAACTATGCATCTTCAAGATGGTGCCTTGATGAACTGTTAAAGATTATGGAACGCAAGAAGACTGTTGGTCATATGATATTTCCTGTCTTCTACCATGTGGATCCATCCGATGTAAGGAAACAAACGGGAAGTTTTGCAATATCATTTGCAAAACACAAAGAAAGGTTCATGGCAGAGATGGACAAAACGAAAGAGGATAGAGTCGAAAAGATAAAGAAATGGAAGGAAGCTTTAAGCGAAGTTGAAGATTTGGCAGGATTGATTTTGAAAGATGGGTAAGCTCCTTAAATTCCTTTCACTCCATTCATTAATGACATGTCTTTAGTTTCTTATAATACTATCTCATCATTTTATTAATAATAAACTAACTGGCCCATTCATAAGGGATTAGACAAGAATGATGATGATGATCTTATTAATAAAACATGGAACTAGCTATTATCCCTAAACTATCACGATCCAAAATAAAAGGGTAGTAACTAGGGGTGGAGCTAGGATTTAAATTCAAGGGGGGCACAGTACCGGGAAAGAAAAAAAAAACACGAAGAAGTTTAAGAAGTAGAAGAAGGAAAAAAAAAAAAAAAAAAAAAAAAAAAAAAAAAAAAAAAAAAAAGAAGTAATAGGAAAAGAAAAATGACATAATTTTGAAAGAAATGAATTAGTGTATGATTGAATAAGGAAAATTTGACTTTTTTAAAAAGGAAATTAAAGAAATTTAAAGAGTAAATGAGGAAAAAAAAAAAAAAGAAGGAAAAAGTTAAGAAAATTTTAGGAATTTAATATTTTTAGGGGGGCATAAAATACAAATTTCTATATATATGTAAAAATAATTCAAAAATTCATATATATTATATAAGGCAGGGCCAGACCAGAGGGCACGTGCCCCTTAGGCATATGATGGCTCCGCCCCTAACTATCGCCATCACCTTTTACCACCTTGATCACCACCGCCACCGCTTTTCACCACCGCCACCGCCTTTCACCGCCACCACTGCCACAGCCTTTCATCGCCGCCACCGCCACAACCTTTCACCACCACCACCACCACCACCTTTCACCATGACTGCCGCCTTTCACCACCACTGCCACCACCACCGCCACCGCCTTTCACTATTACCTTCCACCACCCCACCGCCTTCCATCACTGTCACCGCCTTTCACCACCACCATCTTCCACCACCACCAGTGCCATCGCCTTCTACCATCGCCACCACCTTCCACTACTACCATCGCTATCGCCTTCCACCACCTCCACTGCCTTCCACCACCACCACCACCTCCAACTCCACTGCCTTCCACCACCACCACACTATTGCCACCGCCTTCCACCAACACAACTACTGCCTTCCAACAACACCGCTGCTGCCGCCTTCCACCATTACCACCACTGCCGCCTTCCAACACCACCATCTACACTACTATCGCTTTCTATCTCCACCACCATCCACCACTGCCACAATTTATTTTTAAAAAATTATAGAAGAATGTCATTTTATTAATTTAATTTATTTGTTACTAAGAGGAATATTTTGTCTCAATTTGAACTTTATTCCATTCTAAATTTTAAATTGTTCAACCAAACATTAGAATGATTATTATCATTTCATTCTTACACATTTCATATTTTCAACCAAACAATAGAATGAGAATAGTCATTCCATTCTATTCATATTCTTTTTCTATTCCCACTTGCATTCTATTCCATTCATGCACACCAAACGCAGCATAAGAGCCGGACTTCGTCATTCCATTCCATTCCATTCATATTCTTTTTCTATTTCCACTTGCATTTCATTCCATTCATGCACACCAAATGCAGCATAAGAGCCGGACTTCGTTAGCCAATCCTATGTGGTTGCCAGGTCATCAAATTCACGCGCCTTCTCAATCCGATCAACAAATCAACAAATTTATTTGGAAACTTCTCTGTTCAATAAACAAATTTCTTTGTTCTCCAAATTGAAGAGCTTCTCTCGGATGGAAAAATTATCCTAACAGACCGCAAACATTACTCCAAACCACCCACCAAGATCGTCTCATTCATCCAAACTCTGGTGACCCAATGAGCTTTACCACTGCTTATATAACCACAGCAAAGGTGATGACGAGGACCTCGACAAGGATCTGGTGATGTCGGAGTCGTCACCAATCGCCGCCTCCCTCCCTGACCCGGATATCTCATCTTGAAATTCGATCACCTCCTCAAACCCATATTCTCTAGCCGGCGAAACAGGCTTCATACCCATAGAAATATTAGTGGCAGACAAATAACTCAGCATCTCTGTTTGCTGAAAGAAAACCCACTGGAAAAAAAAGATAGGCTTGCTTGAACGCCTGCGAGGATGACTCCGATTTTAATTTTCCTACAAAAATTAGGGCATAGTTTGCCAATTATGCAAAACTAATTTACTATTAAGGTTTATTGGAAAGTGGTTTGGAGGAGAGCTTAAAGGGCGAGATAATCTCTGTTTCTCTCCAACACCATCTCTGCACTCCATGGATTCCGGCGACCCCATTTCAGCAGGAATCATCTCCCCCGTCTTCTTGTTCAAAGCAACGGTGATTCCATCTTTACTGAACATTGTTATTTCTATGCCAAGTCTATGGACCTCCTCAACTCAAGGACCTATGTATCACCACCGTACATTTACACCATCCTCAACTTCATCATCTTCACCACAGCCGCTTCCTCCACTTTCCACTGTCAGAAACAAGAAACCCACATGGACTGGTTCTTTGATTCATTGGCTTTAGCTGCAAATGAACCGAGCCGAGCTTTAAGTTGCTTGGGCCCGGCTCGCCTAAGTAAGAGGAGTGCTCGGGCTCGGCTCGGGCTAGCCTGCGCTTGGCCTAAGGATAAGCTCAGGTTCGAGCTCGACTCAGCTCGTGCGTGTGTATATGTATATATATATATATATATACACAATCAATCACATCGATCTAACCGCTGGCGTTTGTAGATACAAATTTGCACCATTATCTTCCATTGTTGACTTCTGCGCTTGCGTTAATATCCCATCTTCATAATCTCTTTTGCTTGCTTCGGATTTCAACCATGACCATGGATCTAATCAGCAATATTATTAGAGTAGAGAGAGAGAGAGGAAGAGAGAGAACTAACCTTGTTGTTCAGAGACAGAGTTCAGCAGTTTCCTAGGAAGCGATTTCCATGGTTGTCGTTCTCCACAGTTGCCAACTAAGTGGTTGCGGCAAATGCGTAGACTCTGTAGTTAGGGTTCTATCTAGTATGTTGATAAAAGAAAATTGGAAAAATTTCATCTAAGTCCTACTTTTCAACCTTAAAGACAATTAAGTCCTAAATATTTTTTACTTCAACCAATAAGTCCTATTTTCAAATTTATTTCCAAACTGGTTCAAATATATATATATTTCCAAAAGTACCCTTTATTAGTACTGTTCAATCATCTTCTCTTTCAATCCTTTCAGCAACCATTCCTCTTGCACCCACCGCCGTCCAGCTCCACCCCACTTCTCAATTCTTTCAATCACTGATGCTTGCTGATTTCAATAGAAACATCTCTTCTGACCTCACCGGTCCGGAGTTGCAAGCAACGTGAGTTCGACGTTGCCGGAGTTGCAAGCAACGTGAGATTGCTAATTGGTCACCGAAGTGGGTTCGCCGTCACCAGAATTTCAAGCCGATCGTGAGCTCACTGAACGAGTTGCGTAGAGGTGGGTCTTGCAGCAACACCGTACTGAACTTAGTTTGCCGGAGTTTATGGATTCCGGTGACCATGGCATCCATTTACCACCGTAACCTCCACGAACACCTCAATTTCTATTCAATCTCATATCTCACAACCGTAACCTCCACGGCGACCTAGTTTCCGCCACGTCTACGACCACCGATCTCCATCTCTCAATGTCCATGGATGTAACAATTTCTACAGAAAAGCGATCTTCTTCCTCCAAATCAGGAATTAGCCTCTGTATTTTCTCAACATCTTCTTCCACCAACATCATGGACCATTTTTGCCGGCAATTTATTCCTACTCTGTTCTTTGAATAACAACTAGAAAAAAAAAAAAAAAAAAAAAAAAAAAAAAAAAAAAAAAAAAAAACACTAATTTAAACGCCGGAATGGAGATGAGAGTTGTAGTGTGTGTGTGTATATATATATATAATATAACCCTTTGTATTTGTGTAGTACATAGGTTAAGAGAGGGAATCAGAGCTGCAGTACTAACAAAGGGTACTTTTGGAAATATATATATATTTGAACCAATTTGAAAATAAATTGAAAATAGGACTTCTTTATCCAAGTTAAAAATATTTAGGATTTAATTGTCTTTAAGGTTAAAAAAATAGGACTTCGATGAAATTTTTCCAAGAAAATAACAAATGGCAGAGATTAAGTATTGATTTGGGCTAATGAGTTAGTAAGATGGGCCTCTAAAAATTAAAATATGAATTGGGCCAATGAAATATATGCAAATGGGCTAACTTACATTCATGGGCTAAGCCTATTTTAAATATAGCAATGTAAATGTAATAGGCCTTGTGTAAACGAGCTTGTTCACAAGTTTCACGGGTCAAGCTTAGCATTGTTCTCGCTCGGCTCGTTTAATAAACGAGCTCAAAAATTGAGTTCGGGTTTAGTTCTTTTGCTTAACGAATGAGCTTAAGCCGAACCCTTAACGAGCCGAGCTCCGAGCTTTTTATGAATAACTCGGTTCATTTGCAGCCCTAATTGGCGAGCAGTTTCATCCGATATCGCTCGTCTCCACCAAATTGGAAGTTATCTCTCGCCGATTAGCTGAATCTCTCTCGTCCACACCCGTTCTGCAGCTTCTGCCGAAGATTTAGGTGCTCGCTGCTATCATCCATTGTCGGTAAGTTTAGTCGCCGCCTGGTTCATACTCACCAATTTGTTAGGGGAAGATGAAAAAGAAGAGAAAAATAGAAGAGGGAAAAATCCAATAATTGTATCTACGTGGACAGCCACATAGATTCGGTGTGAGAAATCGGTTGGACAAAATTTAGAGTTTAGCTGCACTGAAAACAAAATCTTAACAAATTAGATATGGAAAATGATTCTTCCACCAAATAGTTGTGGTGAATTGGTAGATCTACTACTTTTAATAATTAGTGATACTTGCACCAATTTGTTGTTACCTAACCAAAAGTTTTTGATTAGTTATTTATGCATAATATAAGTGGAGGACCCACTTCCTTATTGGTTGCACAAATGGACCAATTAAAAAAATTAGGTCTGGCAATTTATTGTAACAAATCGGTACATGAATCATTTTTATTTTTAATTGGTCATTTATGCAACAAAAGTTAATCGGTACATGAATCATTTTTATTTTTAATTGGTCATTTATGCAACAAATAAGGGAATAGAATCCTATTTTTACTCGTATTTAATATAAATAATTAATTAAAAATTATTTAATTAAATTATTTACTGCAAATTTTTTGCGTGTGAGTATCACTATTCTTTATATATTTACAATCAGTAGGTTAACGATCTTTGTTAACTATCTTTCATCAGTGGCCAGCTCATAGAGTAAAGGAACTTTGGCTCCCTTTTATCGGTAGTCAGTACAAAGTAGGGTAAAGGTTTGGCTAAAAGAATACTACCACATTTTAATAAACTTTTGAAAGAGACTAATGCAATATATATATTATACAAAATTGTGGGGACTCACATTGTTTATTTAAAAAAAAAAAAAAACACACACAACAAAAATCCTCAACTTCTGAAAGAGACTAATGCAATATATGAATTTAATGTGCTTCAATAACTTAAATTCTCGGTATTTTAAATGACATGAAAGCACATTGAAAGAACAAAGTTAATAGTTAATAACTAGAAATAAAAAGATGAAACTTCATGAATAGAAACATCATTAAGATTGTGGATAAAAAATTTCAGGGTGGCAATACTTAACACAACACGCTAACACGAGACGAACATAATACGAGATAAGCGAATTTGGGTTTAGACTAATCGTGTTCATGTCATAATCGTGTTGACACGAATTGACCCGCTAACTAAACGTGTCGTGTTCGTGTCTGATCCTGTAAATACGATTATGACATGATTAACCCAATTAATTAAACGTGTCAGATAAACGTGTCATGTTCGTATAAAAAATAACCGATTTAGCAAAACGTGTAGAATAAATATATCGTATTCGTGTCAAAAATGACTTAAATGTGTCTTTTCGTGTCGTGTCAAGTCTTGACCAATTTATTAGACAGGTTATGCGTGTCGTGTCGTATTACATGTATAATAATCGTGTCGTGTTCGTGTCAAGGGTCTTAGACACGATTAATAATCGTGTCGTGTTCGTGTCAACCCTCATCGTGTCCGTGTCGTAATCGTGTCGACACGAACACGACACGCCAACACAAAATGCCAACCCTTATCTTGAAATTGTCTTCTCCAGTAAGATTAAAAATTTCTTGGATATTTTAGCACTTTTTCACGTATTCTTTCTTTTTTCTTCTTCTTCTAATATATATATATATATATATATATATATATATATATATATCCTTTTTGAAATGTAAAAGAAATATTACTAAACTATAACCTTCGGTGATAGGTGTTTTTTTTTTTTTTTTTTTTTCCTTAATATCTTTACCATATCATTGACTATGCAATCTCTAAATTCAAGATTTTCTAATTTTCAACATGGCATGTTGCATGATTATATTTGAGAATGGCTAAACAAAATTGCATGAAATTTATTGTGCCCTTTAAACCTTTCGTGTGTGTATATATTTGCATTTTTATTTAACTTATTGATTCGTTGCAATTTACGACATATTTGCTTTACGTTTTTCTTCTTAACTACACCCACTATAATTTGTAGGTACGAGGCAAATTTTATTCAAGAAATCGTAAAAGAGATTGGAAACAAACTGAATCGCACCGTGTTGAGTATTTGTTCGTACCCAATTGGATTTGATTATCGTATAAATGACATTAATTTGTGGGTGCAAGATGTGTCAAATGATGTTGGGATAGTGGCAATCCGTGGGATGCGTGGAATAGGAAAGACTACCATTGCAAAAACTGTGTATAATCTGAACTTTGATAGATTTGAAGGTAGCAGTTTTCTTGCAAGGGTAAAAGAAACATCAGAAGAGCCTAGTGGTCTTGTTCGTTTACAACGACAACTTCTTTTCGATATTTTAAAGGGGAAAAAAGTAAAAATTAGCAGCGTTAATGAAGGTATCATAAGAATAAGAGATTCTATTTGCTGCAAAAAAATCTTACTTGTCCTTGATGATGTGGATCAACTAGACCAATTGAATACATTACTCATAATGAGAGGTTGGTTTCAACAAGGAAGTAAAATTATAATAACAACTACAAATGAAAAATTGTTGAAGGCACATGAACTGCATAAGATGTACGAAGTTGAGAAACTAACCAATGAAGAATCATTTCAACTTTTTAGTTGGCATGCCTTTCAACAAGACCACCCCATTGAAGGTTATAAGGAACACATTGAAAGGGTTGTAAACTATTGTGGAGGGCTTCCTTTAGCTATTCAAATTTTGGGTTGTTCTCTTTCTGGGAGAAGGGTAGATGTGTGGGAAAGTGCAATAAACAAATTGGAAGCAATTCCTGATGGTTAGATCGTAACAAAACTCAAAATCAGCTTCGATTCATTAGAAGGGGACCATGACAAAAATTTATTCCTTGACATTGCGTGTTTTTTTGTTGGAAAGGATCAAGATTTCGTAATTACAGTACTCGATGGTTGTGAATATTAGATGAAATTCGGAATTGACAACCTTATAAAAAGGTGTTTCTTAATTGTCAATGAGATCAACAAACTGTGCATGCATCAGTTGCTACAAGACATGGGAAGAGAAATAATACGTCAAAAATCACCAAAGGAGCTCGGGAAACGCAGCAGACTATGGGATCATAAAGATGCCTTAAATGTATTAAGAGAAAAAAATGTAAGAACTATGTTTTCTGAGTCTATTTGCATGTTTTTATTGCATTGTGTGCTTACTTAGTGAGTCCTCTTTACCAGGGAACAGAAACCATCGAAGGCCTCATCCTCAACTTCTATGGAAACATTCTGTTGGAGCGCCGTGGCCTAGGCTTCTCTTCTTGGCTTCCCATAAATTCTGCCTCGACAGAATCAAATGAAGTAGATTTACATACTGATGCATTTTCTAGGTTGCGCCATTTAAGACTACTCCAGCTCAATAATGTAGGGCTCACAGGAGACTATAAAGAATTTCCTAGGAAATTGAGATGGTTGTGTTGGCGTGGGTTCCCTTTAAAATTAATACCGACTGAGTTTCCTCTAGAGAGCCTGGTTGCTCTTGACCTGCGCAACCGTAGCTTGAAACAACTTTGGAATGGAAACAAGGTATGCTACTAACTATTTTTTTTTCTTTCTTTTCTTTGGGGACTAGTGTGAATATTTATACATTCTCACCTATTTCTCACAGTTACTCAGATTATTAAAAATCCTCAATCTCAGTCATTCCCATGGCCTTACCAACACGCCCGACTTCTCAAAACTCCCTAATCTCGAAAGGTTAATTCTTAAAGACTGCATAAGTTTGATAAAAGTTAACGAATCCATTGGAGAATTGGTGAGACTTGTTTTGTTAAATCTAAAAGGCTGCAAGAATCTTAGGAATCTTCCCACAAAAATTGGTCAGCTAAAATCCCTTGAGAAACTCATCCTCTCTGGTTGCTCAAAGCTTGTCAAGTTGCCAAAAGATATGTGTGAGATGGAATCGTTAAAGGTTCTTTAAGCAGATGGTGTTGCAATAAATCAACCATCCTCTGCTAGCAGTGACATAACAGCATGGCATTCACGGTGGTTTTCTTGGGTTTCTAGACCAAGAAAATCCCCGGAATTGATGGATTATTTGTCACACTCATTGATAAGCATGAGTCTTGCAAATTGCAATCTATTAGATGATGCCATTCCAAGGGACCTTGGTAGCCTATCCCTATTACAGAACTTGAAGTTAAGAGGAAATCCAATATGTACCCTTCCAGATAACATCAAGGGTCTCACCATGCTCAAGTCACTTGATTTAGAGAATTGCACAAGACTCCAATTGCTTCCAGAGCTACCAATGAGTTTACAAGAGTTGGATATAAGTGAATGCAGGTCACTGGAAATAATAACAAATCTACCAAACCTATTGAGATCACTGGCATTGTTAGTGTTTGAATGTGACAAACTAGTTGAGGTTCAAAACTTGTTCAGGTTCGAACCTATTCAAAAGAATCAAAACATTGATGCAGAAATGATCAAGAATTTGGGCTTGGTTGAGTTGGAATCCAAGGAGAAGTTCGAGGTGAACTTGTTAAATTGCCTAACATTTACCAATAAGATTGTTCCTATTCAGGTGCTCTCTCTCTCTCTCTCTATCTCTCTCTCTCATGTTATGTTGTAAGTAATCGAGTTTTATGATTTCCATGGATCAGCGACTGTATGAATTCGGTATATTCAACATTTTTCTTCCTAGGAATGAGGTTCCAAGCTGGTTCAGCAATAAGAGTACAATGTCCTCGATATATTTCATTGTTCAGCCACTTTCTAACCTCAATATCCAAGGCTTGAATGTATGTACTGTTTATACATATGCCGATGCACCTTCCATCGATGTCAGGGATCCATATATTATGAAAATCTTCAATAAGACTAAGGACCTCAAGTGGACCTATTGCCCAATGTTTATAGGGATTCCAGATGACGGGAAAAATATGATGTGGTCAAGCCATTGGAAGATTGGAAATCAATTGGAAGTTGGCGACGAAGTGGTTGTTTCAGTGGTTTTGTTGGCTGGATTTCAGGTAAAGGAGTTTGGAGTCCACATTGTGTATGAACAAAAGGAGAAGGATACCTGACACAACGCCTACAATTCTAGTCCCGTTGATGCTCTTGACGGCGTAGATTTATCTGTGTATCAGGCAAGGAGAGGTGCATACTTCCTCTGCCATCATGATATTTTACTCCATCAAATGTGCTCAAGTGATGATGGTTGGAATACAACAGGTTGGTATGACTTCCTATTTGGGGATAATGTAGGAAATAGACACCACCTCTCAAAATTTTCAATTAGGAATAGAACTATGATAAAAGAAACTTTCACTTGACCACTAGTAAGTAAGCATTTGAAATCCTGGGGGTTGTCTATATATATTGCACACATATATTGCAATATATGTGCACTAAGACGGTTTAACATAACCTCATAACAATTGTTATAAGTTGTGTGTCGTTTTATAGTGGTTATGTACAAATATTATGAAAGAAGATTGCTTTTGTCATGGAATGGAAATAAAGAGAATGACTGGGGCTCGTTTGACAACCGTTTTTGCTTTGTGTATTTATTTTGATCCGAAGAAGTAGTGTTTCTGCTTTATAGTGTGTTCAATATTATTTCAAAGCATGTTTGGTAACGTAAATTTATTGCAAAATTTTTGAAAGGAAAGACACCAAAGAATGTTTGGTAAAATGTGTTGTAAGTGTAATGTTGTGATATATATGTATATATATATAATTAATGTTAAAAGAAAAAGAAATAAAACAAGTGGGCCCCACCACTATATTAAAAACATCAAAAAGGCCATAAGGCCATTACAGATACACATTTTAGTTCTCTCTCTCGGCAGTTTCCATGTTCTCTCTCTGGAATATTTGTTTTATTTTTACTTTCACCATTCAAAGCTTGATCTAGCTCTATCCCTTTGAAATTTGGTAGAACCTTATGAAGCAAAGTTGTTGAGCTCGTCGAGGCCGTCAATTTGATAGGAGCCAATCATCATTTGGTGCACTCCAAGGAGTTCGAAATTCTAGGGTTCTTGGGCTCAAATTGGGGGTTTTCATTAATTTGAGGTAGGGGTGTTCTAATCTACAATTTCTTGGCCTTTGGTGAATTTTTCCCCTTAAATTTGATCCTAAGCATGCTAAATTTTAATTACTTAGCTTGTTGTTGTTATAGTTATGTGTAATTACAATGATAATTGTATTCTATGTGTTATTTGAGTTCATATACATGTCTATTTTTATTACGGTAAATGAGCATGCTTAGTGTTTGATGTGTTGTATGTTCCATGATTATTTATTTATTTATTGTCTTGAAGCAAAAATGGGTGCTATGGTTATAAATAAATAAATAAAAGAAATGAATGTTTAGAAATTTTTATTAAATTGTGATGATGATGTAAACGGAAATGTGTGAAAACATATAGTTAAATTAATGATTTGAAGCATGAAGCATTCATGCATCCATTGGGAAAGAGAAAGGGGGAAAAATAATTGTTAGAACAAATAAAATTATTTTGGGGAAAATATTTTCTAAAAGTGTTGCGAAAATCGGACGCCTAGGAGGCGCCTAGTGGTCCGTGATGTTGGTGTAGTCTAGAAGGGAATGTAGTTGAGTTAACTAGGCCGGATGCGACGCTTTGGAGGTGCCTTGTGGTCGTGGATAGTTAACCAACCTTCCTTTCGTGACGCCATGGAGGTGCCTTGGGTCGGACTACACTAACGGTTTGGTTTTTGAAACGGAATTGTTTCGGAAATGGAGAGTGACATTTGCATAACATTGCACTTCATGACATTGTGGTAAATTTGTGATTGGTTGATATTTGTTATATACTTGTTATTGTGGTTGAGAATGTGTATTTTCCGATGGCATGATCCCGTTCACTTTTTATCTATTCATTGTATGGATTCACGGAGACATAAGAAGTGTGTCTTAGACACTTCCTACTGAGCTTATGCTCACCCCCTTATTTTTAACATTTTTTCAGGATATGGAAAAGAGGTGGCGGACGACGGTCCACCACAGGTTTAGATGAGCTTGAAGACCCATTCTATTTTGTTATCTTTTGTATTAGATTCTAGTATTTTGTAAATGTAATATTAGCTACCTTGTGACACTTTAGTTTAATTAGTATAATATTGTAAGTTACGGACTTTTAATTCTAGCTACATTTTATGGACTGTAATTTGATGTAACTTAAGTGGGTTCCATATTTGGATGAGATGGAGGAACGGGACTTTTGTATGTATGTAACCATTTTGGGAATGTAGTATAATATCTGAATTATGCGTTGGGACATGATAAGTTAGATTTAAGGCCTAGTGAGGCCACTGCATTTATTTTTTTGTATTTCAATAGGTTGTTGAGGGACATTTTCTGCGGAGGTCATGCCAAAATTTTTATAGATTTTTATTATTATTTTGGTATCTTTTCGGGTCGTTACAACAAGTTTGAAAATTTTAAAAGGCTAGATAAAAATGTCATTTTAATTAATTAATTAATTTATTTATTTTTGAATAGTGCTTTTGCTATTGCGTGGAAGCAACCAAAATCATTATTTTTACACTTTCAATTTTGGCCTCTTTTTTTGAAAGTGCTTCGGTACTATTCAAATGATAATAGACGTTAACAAACATGTTTCGTATTTTTACTTCTCTAAACAAAAGTAAAAAACATGAAGTAAAAGTAGTTGTCAAATAGGCATTAATTATTTGGAATTACATCAATCCATTTAGACATGGTATAAATGCTACAAGCGAATTTTTTAGACAATAAATGAATCCTAATTTTTGGTAGAAAGCTTGAATTAATTACAGGTTATGAGGTCAATAATCATGAACATGTTACTAATTCTCACAGAAAATATTCGACAATATTTGAATTGGCAAATCACAAAGAAAATAGTCAATAATTAGTGATAACTCTGACATCAACACAATTGTTACTATTGATTACTTTGAAGAACAGTGAAACTAAAAGAAAGGAAACCAAAATTCAAATTCCAGATTGTACAATCGCCCAAAAAAAAAAAAAAAAAAAAATCCTTATTAATTAGTATGAAAATGTTAATATTCAGAACACAACCAAAGCATAAATTGAAGATTGAGCTAGAGCAAAATGTATCTACAACAACCAACACTGTGTGCATATTTGAGAATTTAATAAACCTTGATTTTCTTTTTAACTGTTCATAGTACCCAATTGTTTCTATTGTAAATAAAATAACTAAAAAACCAAACTGCATTACCATACTAGCTGAGTGTGCTTAGTTATCGCCATATACCAAACTGTCCTAAATATGAAAGCAGCAATGGCTTTCCCATTTGACATTTTTCACTTTCAAGGAGTAATGCCTCTGGTGATCAAATAATTGAGACAATTTTGCCGAGTTAAAAGCTAAAATCGCCACTTTAAAGCTTTTGTATTTATCTGTACTTTTTGTTATTTATGTGTTTTCCATTCAACCCTTCCTCACGTATACTTCCAAAATAAATGACTATATTTTTATTTTTGGCTGTCCCAAAATATATGACACAATTGAAAAGTCAAAGTATTATTTCTTTGTTACAACATTATCAATTTAGGAAGGGAGTATAACTAATTAAACTGCAATTTTTTTTTTTTTTTTTTTTTTGACATTTTCCTTATGTATAAAATATAGAGGTCCTTCCTTGCCCAAGGCGACCAAGGGGGGTCGCCTAGAGCCTCAAATTTGGCAAGCTTATGGGTGATGGGCTAGGAAAAAAAGTTACAACAAAGTGGGCTTATAGTGGCCCTTATTTAGTAGCAGTTAATGCCACCTAAAGGCTAAAGCACCTAAAAAAACCTTTTTTATTGCAGCAGATTTCTTTAATCACCATTTAAAGATGAGTGATACATGTTCCGACCAAAATGGCCGAACCTTAGTCAGAATCTGATGTGGCTGCCACATCTTTATCCAAAAACCAAAAAAAAGAAAAAGAAAAAGAAAA